CCAACCTGGCCTAACACAAGTACCTACTGTGCCCTCAGTTGTACCCCTACTGTGTGTGCAGGTGTACCTACTGTGCACCAAGGCACTTGATTGTGCTCCTGCGGAAACTGTACCTGAGCCAAGAAGAGGTCCTTTGATTAGGTAGAACGAGGGGATACCGTGGCGTGGCTTAAGTTCAGCTAAGACATGTGGCTGAGCCATGTCCTCTCACCAGACTTATTCGAGCGGGTGCTGAGCAAATAATCCGAGAATTATGGGAAGGAGGACGTGGTGGCGGCATTGAGGAGGAGCTTGTTCGCCATGTGCCCATGAAGATGAGTCCCCCTTGCTTGCTGGGAGCGAGCAAGCCAGGAGGACTTGAGGCACTTGCAGGGAGGAGACCAGACTGTAGCCTGAAGCATGGATCTCGACTCACTGGACAGGCAGATGGACGCTGCACCATGACGGACCAGTGGGCATTGTGATGGGCAGAGGGAGGGACGACGCGCCAGGGTTGGGGCGGGTCCATCAGTGCTTTTCATTGGCACCGCAATAGGCGCAGCCTGCCTGGTCCGAGGGGAGACGTGTGTGCCTGGTGGCTCCCAGGTAAGTGGAGTGTGTCATGAGGGGCCAGTCCTGCAGGTGAGGGCCTCGCCCACCCCACTCGGCCTGTTCCCCATCCCACCTTGCCCCGGGACCCACCTGGGTGTGGGTGTGGTGCACCGGGGCTGCCTAGGTCCACTCGGCTACTTGCCATCTGCTGCAGCCGCGGCACATCCACAGCCGTGAGCCATGACAGAGACTGCAGGTCGCCTGGAAGGTCGTCCTCGCCGGCGCTGGCCAGGAGCCTGCAAAGGGGTGAGGGTGGGGGTTGCCCATGGGGGCAGGGTTGAGAGCTGGCTCTGGAATCATTCTTTCAGCCTCCCACCCAGGCCCACCAACCTGCCCTTCCCCAGGGCCACCCTGGGGACCTGGCCCCAGGACACCCCTCCAACCCCTGTAGCCAGACAGCACATGCTCAGACTGGCCCCCACCTCTCCCTCCTCCTTGTAGTGCATCAGCAGAGAAGAGCCACCCCACGGAGCCGCCGGGAGTGAGATGTCTCAGAAGCAGGCGGCCCAGCCTGGCTGCTGGGGGCCTCTGAGTGGGCCTGACTCGCCCTTTCCACCGATCCGTGAAGTGCTGACCCATGACGCCCCACCCCTGCCACGATGCGCACTGGTGGGGCTGAGAACCGACACTGCCCAGCAGCCTGTCCTGTCTTTCCTGGGCATTGACCACATGACACACCCGGTCCCATAGGTGGCAGCCGCCGTTGAGCTGGCCTCGACTCGAGGTGACCCCATGGAAATAGATGTGGGGGCTTTCTCGGGCTGGGGTCTGGAAGCCGATGGTCAGGCCTGCCTCCCTAGTCTGCCTGTGTCTAGATGCTCTGCTGAGACCCGGCCGGCATCCAAGTCACACACAGGCCTCTGCTGGCGGGTGGTGGCTGCCCGTGACGTGCACCGGCCAGGTGTTTAACCTGGGTCTCCCACGAGGAAGGCGAGACCCCTGACCCTGGGCCACTGACTGGCAGCTGAGAGTGTTGTCCCCCTTCAAAGATGCCTCGGGCTGTGGTGGAGCTGAGCTGGGGACCCCTCAGGGCAGAGCGGGCAGGGCACCCTCCCGCCATGGCGGAATCGGCAAACTCCACAGACCCAGGGCGTGAGTGGGTGCCACGGCCCACATGGGGTGGGGAGAGCAGCTGAGCAAGCCGACGGGGTGGTGGTATTCCATGGTGGCACTGCCCAGGGTCCTGAGTGCCGGCGACTGCCTGGCTTGGGCTCAGGGTTCAGGGCTCCCGGGCAGGTTCGTATTAAGTCCCTGCAGCAGCCTGGTGAGGTCAGCTCTATCCACAGTCCTTTTGCACAGGTGAGGAAACTGAACCCCAGGGCACCCAATCATGTGCCCAGGTTCATACAGGATGGTAAATGGAGGGGCTGGCACCCCCAAAGCTTCCGGGGGAGCCCCCAGCCCAGCTCCACAGGTAAATAAAATGCTTCCCACTGAAAGAAATGGCCACTCCTCTGAGGAGTGGGTCTGAGGACGAACGAGGGGTTCCCCTCCCAGCCCCCCCAGGCATCACACTGGCAGCTAGTCCGTGTGGCTACAAGGGTGCACCCTGAGGGCATCAGGGGCCATGCCAGACTGCCACATCCGCCACCCTGCCTGCCAGGGGCTCTCTACTGAGGGTCAGGAAGGCCCGGCCCAAGACCTAAGCTCCAAGGTTGCAAATGAAGTGTTCTGGGGCCTTAGGGAGAGGGTGAAGCGTGAGTGCGTGTGTGCGTGAGTGCGTGCGTAAGAAAGCAAGGCCCTCGATGCGTTGGATTGGCACAGTGGCTGGGACAACAGACTCACGCAGCTGTAGGCGGGGTGGCTGAGACCTGGACTCCAGGAGCCCTGACAAGGATATCAGTGTTGTGTGTGGGTGTGCGCACGCGCACACGTTGGGGTGTCCAGCCTGGGTCGTGAGTTAACCTCTCTGTGAGTTCCCCTCCCTGCCCCCACCCCCCACTCCACCGGCTAGCTCTGTCCTTGTGTTTTAAGGCCACAATTAGTGTTTCCATGGCCACTGCTGCTAGGTTGTCACCAGGCCTGGCCTGGCAGCACTGCCTCCCCACCCCCTGCAGGCTGGCATCAGGTGACGGCCCTGCTGCCTGCGATTGGCTGCCTCAGAGGAAAAAATGGGGCCTGGGAACAATTTGAACACTCGCTGGGCAAGTGTCACCAGCAGCAGTTGGCCCGGCTGTTGTCCCCCGCAGCCCATTGTCCGGCTAACGACTGTTGCCCCGTGGCACATGGCCCCCATTGTCCCAGGGTCTCTGCCATTGTCTCTGCTGCCCACCCCCGGCCCCTCCCCCAGCTGTCCTCCCTGCAGCCCGCTCACAACTCATCTGGCCAAGTGACATCCTGGCCCAGCCGGGGCGATGCCATCTGTCCGTGTGGCCCATGGAGACCATGGGGTGGGGTGGGGAGGGGAGGAGGGGCAGTGCCCAGCCAGCCCCCACCCTTCCTCAGCCCACGTTGGGCTGGGGCCAGGCCAGTCACCCTGCCCCCCCATGGCCAGCCAGCTGACGGACGCCCTGGGGGCTGGGGATGCAAGCCCCTCTCCTGCTCCGTAACTCCCCACTGCCCAGTCTGATGCTGACTGCAGCAGGGAGGAGGAGAGGTGAGTCCCAGACAGCAGGTTACTCCAGGTGGGGGCCCACCCCCCCAGCACCTGGCTGAGGGGATTCATAAGCAGACTAGATTCCTGGGTGCCACTGGGAGGAGCCCTGGCAACCTAGTGAGTTACGTGTTGGGCAGCGAGCGTCACGGTCAGCAGTTCGAAACCACCAGCCGCTCCGTGGGAGAAAGAGGAGGCTGTCTGCTCCCGTAAAGAGTCGCAGTCTCAGAATCCCACAGGGGCCATCCTACCCTGTCCTGGAGGGTCTCTGTGAGTCAGCATCACCTCGGTGGCAGGGAGGGGGGGCACCACCACATCTGCGGGCACTGGCTGGGGGTGGGAGAAGCTGGTGCCTCTTGACCAAGACCTAGTGCTCTGGGCTCAGCCAGGCCTGGGACGTCCCCTCCCTGAACCTCCGTCTCCTTCTGTACAGTGGGCACGATCGTTGTTAACCGCCACCAGGCCAGCCCGGGCTCACGGCAGCCCACGTGCAGGGGCAGGACACACGCCTGGTCCCACACCACCTGGTCAGACCGCGGCGATCTCGCGGGTGGTTCTCCGGGCCTCCTTTCTTCCTGGTCTACACACACACAC